GTAGATCACTACGTATATTTAGGGCAAATAATATCATTTCATGACCAAATGGATCTTGAGATAGAAAGAAGAGTGTCTTGCGCCTGGAAGAGATTTTGGTCACTCAAGGAAGTACTTAAAAGTAAAGACTTCCCAATAGTAGCTAAGAAAAGGTGTTCAATCTATGTATCCTACCATGTGTTACATACGGCTGCGAGACTTGGGCTTTATCTCAGAAACATCTTCTAAAGTTGAGAACATGCCAAAGAGGAATGGAAAGAAGCATGGTGGGTGTAACACTGAGACATCGAAAAAGAGCAGAAGAGATCAGATCAACGACCAAAGTAGAAGACATTATAAAGAAAATAAGGCAGTTGAAATGGCGCTTGACTGGGCACATGACGAGAGATAGCAGGTTGAAATGGACAAAAATAATTACAGAATGGCAACCACGTGATGGAAAAAGGAAACGAGGAAGACCGAGCAAGAGATGGGCAGACGATATAAAGATAATAGGAGGCACAACTTGGACAAGAAGAGCTAATATCAGAAAAGAATGGAAACAGCTGGAAGAGGCCTACGTGTCACAGGACACGCTGACTACCTAAAACGGGTCAAGTGACGTATTAGATTAAGTTTTATTTATGTATTAGAATTAAGTGTTTTTTTTATGTAACTTAAATAATTGTTATTACATTGTACTGGGTGTCAGCAATAAAGGCTAAAGAATGAATGAATCATTATTATCTATTTAGTTACTACGGAGGAACATACATTCTAATACTGTTACGAATGTTAAAAACGCGTAAAAACTTGATTCTGTTGGACTATTGTAATAAAATACAATGACTTAAATCGATGTATACATAATTATAAAGCTGATTGCCTTGATATTGAAGACGAAATATGACCAATATTGCGCAAGGTATACTTCAACACAGACAAAAACTAATTCATTTTTGGTATATGAATTTTTATGCTCTGTAAGCAAGCAAACAATTATAACATATTCAGTATTCACCCAGACACTAGACATTACTACAAAAGAGTTTAAAGAAGCGCTTCAAGGGCTTTGACCTCTATTATAGATTTCTGCATTTTATTGACCCTCTTTCATTATAGGCAAGTACGTAGTCAGTCTTATGCCAAAATTAAAAAAAAATATCTGTAGGTTTTTGACATACAGAAGTCATTTAAAGAAAAAACAATATACAGAAGTCATATTTAGCGCTTGAAGAGCAGTGGCAGCGTTAGTTAGTTGCAAAGTTGTTAATATTATAAGTAAGATCACACATATTCAAACAATATTCAATATGTATTATTCAGCTTAAATTAGTAACTGCAGTAAAACTCTTTCCATCAAAGTTTTGATTTCGAATCATACCCAAAGGCCATAGGTTGATCATACACATTAAAAATCGGGTCGGGATTCGAACGTAATACTTCAAGATTGTTAACTTAACCATTAGGCTATTCCTGTACATATTTGAAAGATTTTGTTCTAAGTTCTAAGTTTTATTACGACTGCCATTGCCGGATCGGTTACCATAGCGTAACACACTTTTTTTTCGACATACGCAACTTAATTTAATATATTCGGTATTTTTTTGAAATATATTTACGTAATAACGTATGTACATGTACCCTAACGGCAGTATTATTCGGTAATCAATTAGTCCACGCCTCTATACAGCCTCCAGCCTTGCGATTCTGTAACTCACTTTTCGCAGTGAAGAAGTCATTTTACGATTTAGCATTCTGATAAACAATAAACTACAAGCTTCCTCCTTATCAGAATGCCAAATCGTAAAATCACTGCTTCACGACTGATTTGAGCGCGACCGCCGCTGCGAAAACCGCTGTGCGAGTTCGAAAAGTGAGTTACAGAATCGCAAGGCTAGGCTTCAAATGTAAAACACGCAAGTTGTAGGCTAAGACTTAAGTACTATGACTCCAGTAAGTCAAATCCAATACGTTCTCGACTCAGAATCTTAGGGTCTATGTCCACCGGATAGAGATTACTAGACAGTTTGGAGTAAGTCCAGTCCCAGTAACATTACGCTTTAGCTATACTACGTTTATTAGTAAAATACAACCTTATGAGCCCTTATTTAATATAATAAAAAATAATTTTTAAATATAGTACTAACAAAGTCCACGTGAAGAAAACATGCTTAACAGTTCATGTTTGCGCTACGCGGCGCAGAGTATGGTATAAGTATTGTCTAAATATTTATACGTTTTATCAAGTATGTACGATACAATTCAATATTTTCGGTTTGTATAGGATAATCTATTGTATAAGATGTCCCTTAAATAGTCCTTAACAAGGCATCAACAATAGCTTAGCGCTTTTTTATAAGATTGGGCAAACGTGCCTACGGAATAACCATAAAGACAGTTTCCCTTGGTCACCACACTTTTTAACATTACGTAGCTTTTTAGTTAAAAAAATACAAATCGTCCTACCTTAAATAATAGCTAAATCAATCTTTTTCTTTCCTACCTATCTTTATAAATTTTTTTAATGTAATAGGAGGCAAACGGGCAAGAGGCTCATCTGATGTTAAGTGATACCACCGCGCATGGACACTCACACTGCCAGAAGGCTCGCAATTGCGTTGCCGGCCTTTCAAGAATTGGTACGCTCTTTTCTTGAAGGTAAGAATAGCCAGAGACAAGTGTAAGTAAAATCCCAATTAAGTATGCAATAATAAACAATATTAATAAGCGTGTTTCTTGTAGGTAAGAACAAATATTTTAAATTAAATCAATTTTATTTAACAAAACACATGCATCAAGGCTTCCGAGTTTAGTTTATGTTTATGGCACGTTTCCTTTTGCAACGACGTATGCGTAACATCAGACGTCAACAATTTGAATTGGCATTACGCCTCATACCTTTTTTCGATTTAAAATTCGGGGTTTCTCAAAAGATTAAATGCTTGTTAATAAGCTGTTTTGTGAAATTATTCCACAATTTTTGGCTGTTTATTTTCTTTCCTTATTGTTCAGCCTTGCGATTCTGTAACTCGATTTGGCATTCTGATATCGTAAAATGACTGCTTTACGACTGATTTGAGCGCGACCGCCGCTGTGAAAACCGCTGTGTGAGTTCGAAAACTAAGTTGCAGAATCGCAAGGCAGCTCACTTATTACTAGTTCCCGTAACCTCTTTTCAAGTATTACGTCACGCAATCGTTTTAGATTCGTGAATCTGAAAATCAAACGTCTTAGATTATTGTTAACCCCCCCATGTAACGTGCCGTAACGGTTTTCTGTACCCAACAGAAAAACGTTTCGTGACCATAGTGACTCTTTATACCTAATGTGGTGTAAAGTACTGGAAAGTCGAAAATAATATTAATTTCGTAAATGCCACAAAAAATACATATGCCTCAATAAAATAGAATAGGAACAATAGCCTTCATATTCATAACATTCATATTTATTAGAGTAAGATAAGATCAACAACATTTGTTAAGATACCAAAGATCAAATAAACTTTATATATAAGAAAATATAATTAACAAAGGCAAAAAAGGTTGAGTTGTTAATTATATGTGATTGTAACACCGGATTTGATTATGAGATGCTATAAATTTGAATTCCAAATTTCCATAGAAATATAGAAAAAGCGAGATTTCTAAAGACCTTTTGAATATAATTAAAAATACATTTTCCCAGTAAAAAATAAGGCTATTGGAGCCTTGTTCTCGATTTCCTGCAAAGGTTATTTCACTTCCGGTAAATTATCTAACACGATATTGTCATCTTTTATTATCCTTGAATTTGATCTTGAACACGTTAAAATCACGTTTTGCATAAGTATGGTCATTTAATTATGCAATACTTTTTATATTCCAAATAAGCAATTTACGTGACATGACATCTATGGCATGGGCCATAATCGGGTAATAACAAGTTAAATATATATTGATAGCTTTTTGCATTAAGAATTTAATTGTATGAGATAATCACTAAACCCAAAATACCAATTTTAATTATTGACTCCAATTGGAGTCGCTTTCGTCTAAGGGCGACACTCAATTTCGATGAGGTCTTATTATACGTAGCGCTGATATCAAAAAATATATTACTATCACTGTTGGTCATAACGTGGTATATATAGAGCCTAGTTGCTGCCTTGACATTGGTGAAGAAGTATAATACAAAATTAACAATGTTTCGTCCCTGATGCAGAGGACCCCAGTAGCGTTATAAATGTTTTCCATATATGTATCAAAATATAGTGGACGGGACATATTACATTTCCTACCGCCGTCACCTATTGATACACCTTGGACTTACAAATCTTATCATGTTTAGTATATCACTCGAAAATGGATCATGATCGCGAACTACGCTCTATCACATTCATAATTCAAATTAGCAATATCGGTCGACAATTGTCTCTCACACGCACGCTATATTACAACCGGGAATAAATACATAAAGTGAAACAACTATTAGACGTATTCAAAAAAGATGAGTTTTTTTTAAATTATAAATATTTATTTAAATTACAATCTTGAACGTTATTTTTAACAGTTTTCTTCACTAAAATCAATAACTAACCTTAAAATATAATAACTAAAATATATTATTAAAAGGAATCCCTTTAAGCAAGAAGATACTGGCAGCGTTCCCCCTTTGAATAACTAGACTAATTCTTTGTCCGAGGTATGTTTTTATATTACAATATTTTTAAATAATATAAATAGAGAGATAGGAAGACACCAATAATTTATAGACCTTATCGGTTAAATCTTTCCCCGCAAGTTTGCATAATGAAATTTGTTTAATTTTCAATAAAAGACAATAAACTTGACAGTTTCGTGTCTTACTAAGTAATCGTGTTTAATAATTTATTGTTATAAATGTATTAACAGTTAAAACCGGTCCTATAAATTATTAACTGGCTATATTCATGCTTCAAATATTTAGCAAATTTCTACGAAAGTTTGCTCTTATATTTCCTCTATCCTTGATATTATTATTTATACCTAACGTAACCTAATCTATACTTTAAAATCTACACATCTACATGTTCCGTTAATTATTTCAAAACTTATAGTTAGTAATAAGTACTTACTTTTCAAAGCCCATCGCTTGTTGGAAAGCAAGCCATCCAGGAACCTGTATCCTTGCTCTCTACACAGCTTATCGCCAACATTACCAACCGCACTTGTCAAAGCAAGCAGATCACTCGCCAAAACTACTGACGATGCATAATCCGGAGATTCACCCAAAGGACCCTTTTCCGAATCAGCATATATGTTATACCCAGCGTCTTTATGTATAACTCTCTCAGATCCATTCAACCCCTGTGATAACTTATTCACCAATTCTCTATCTAAACCCAGCGCTTGCGCAGCCCTGTATAATCTAGCAATATCACTGGCATCCAAGCTTTTATTCTCATCTATCAAATCGGCTAAGCTTTTAAGGACCTTGTCATCAATATTTGTGTCGTTTTCAGCGACGATCGCGCATGCTAACGACAAAACCAAAACGGTTATAAGCATTGTGCTGGCGTGCGCGCGCGCGTCTCGATACGTACTGAATACAACCAAGGATCGATCAATGAAATGACTCGCTGATTATCCTAATACAGTTTCATTGTTTAAAATGTCTGGTCGAGTTAGTAAGGAGAATGTATATGTTGTAATAATTGTGATCAACCTTACCAGACAGCGTTCTCGGTGTATGAACCAACGCCAGGGTATTTAATTGTTTTATTATTATTAACATAAGTTTAAACAGTAAGTGCTACTATAACGGTTTTATAAGCGGGTGTTTTAGGTAAGATACCTTGGCTATTGCGAAGATTATTTCATTAATACTTTGTATTCTAGAAAATTTTATCCTTTATTCTGCTATGGTATACAATTGTTTAAGTGAATGTCTTTTAATTCTTTGTGGTTTCTCATATGTATGAATAAATATTGAGTATCGTAAATTATACAATAACATAAATTAGTCGTCTGTGGCTTTTAAGTTATATTGTTAAACATACTTTAATATAACAGCCCTTGGAAATAGTGATAGTTACACAAACATATCACACAATAAAACAGTGATCACAACTAGGGGAGACCGGGTACAAAAGTAACACTTTGTACTTCACACTTGATTTGTGGCCAGGTTTTAATATTGTCATTAAATTAATATAACCATATATAAATTCAGTTTATGTTCTTTACACTAGCAGCTCGATTTTTTTTACTATGGTGTGTTTTATATGAATAACAGAGAGTTAAAAAAAAATCATCAGTTGTTACTTTCGACCTGCCTACGTGGTACAAGACGAAGAGGTTGGTAATTAATACAATATTATATGTTTAATCAACAATTATTTATTTAAAAAGTAAAAGTTCTGCATTCTGCATCCATCCACTAGCATTGCCAGCTCCGGCACAACCAACAGGACCCTCAAGAATCATGTGGTCTTAGAATTGTTTAAATGGGAATACGAAAAAGGAGGTATGTGTCCTCCTTGAGCATTAATGGCAACAGCAACAGTTCCTAATCTTCCACGTTCTGAGGTTACTGCACCTACTTGTTTAGTTCCTTTTTGAGCAACAATCTTGCTAGGTTTGTTTGTTACTTTTGTACCCTTCCTCATTTTTGTTGAAACATGAAATATAACTTAAAAACGGAACGTGCTAAACAAAAACAAATTTAAACAATGTACAATCAATCTAATCATAAATAGATATGCAAACATTCAGATTACTACCATCCTTTTACGACTATGTAAACATTAAATAACAAAATATCGAAAAACTTAGTTTTGGTTTGTAAAAACACGTAGTATCCTCTCACACAACGTAACAGTGCGTGGAGTACGCGGCGACTAACTACAAGTGAGGGGGGCACTCTCAGCTATCGCCTGACGGCGGCGAAGCTGTTTTCGCCCATTGGATGAATCTAGAGAGCATTTGTTACTTTCGACCCGCCGTTACTTTTGTACCCGGTCTCCCCTACTATAGGAAACCAGTTTGAATAGGCAATTTAATGTTCATCATTCAATTAAAATGCTAAATATTATTATTATTAGATAAGTGTGATTTCTATTAAAACGTGCCATTCTTTATTTTTCTTCCAGTAACATTTAATAATAGTTAATTAATTTGTACTTACCATATGGGGTTTGATTCCCGGCGACATAATACTTATGTCAGCTACTAATTAATAAGTAAAACTGCCCATAATGTTTGTTATTATATACAAATTGTAATGATTTGTATTCGTTTGTATGACGTTACACTTAAGCTGCATCGATTTTGATGAGGTTTACGTAAAAGACTATTTTGAAAAAGATACCATAAAATAAAATAAAACGCATCGAAATTAATATTTGCTTGCGATTTAAATGAAGTCATCTTTTGATATACTGTATAAAATTATATTATTTTACTTTAGTACGTCAAATAATCTTTGAGATCATTTCCCGTACTTTCCACATTCTCAAACTAGTTACCTAGTAATATTGGTTACATCATAGACTGTGGTCAAAGCAACAATGGCCTTTTGCGTCGTCCGAGGGCCAGTTCCTATTTTTTATATAACTTTATTATTCCTGAAAAATAAGTCGTTGTTGTTCTGTATAATGTTAGATGCTTTCCTTTTTAAACATATTCTCTCACAAAATCTTGCTTAGACTTAAGTAAAAATTATTTTACATTACTACATACTATTATTTTATATTGTTATTTAAAAACTATATATTGTCCCCACGATAAATGTCTCAATTATAAGGCGCCTCCGCGGCTTAGTGGTTAAGGAAGGTGACTCAATGACCCATTAGATTTTTGGCTAAATAATATCTCCTCCGGGTTGATAGGTACAAAAGGCGGATCACATCTTTGAAAAAAAGGTAAGGGCAAAAGGTTGCAATAATGACTCAGATACAATCACTTTTGAGCTGAAATTTTAGCATGATAGCATCCGCACAAGGATTGTTTTTATCCATTTATTTTTTATACTTTTTTATTTTTTTCCCCACAAGTATTGCAAAATTAAACTTATATGAAATTTTTTCTTTGTTTTGTTTCTCATTTCTCAACCATTCAATCACGATGTGCCACGACGAAGTGTGGCAGGGACAGCTAGTTGTATATATATATATATATATTTATTCAATAATAAATACATTTAATTTTGATGTAATAGTACTTATGTATGTAATCACCTTAAACCACCCAGAAATGTATTATTACATCATAATTAAATGTAACATTGTAAGCGTAAATGTGTTAACAATGTATAAAAATGTCATATTTGCATTTACAGACTCAGCAATGTAAATACTATAGAGTTGTATAAATGAAACCAATTAATTTATGATAATATTTAATTTCTTTATCTACTGTATCGATAATGTTGAGCACCGCCGCGATTTCCATTCGTCCACTCCCACTCATCAAGATCTCGATCACGACCATTTTCATGGTTAGCCCAGAAATCTTCCTCTCCACCCTCTGGTTCTTCTTCTTCTTCTATGATCTCTAAGTCTTCGTCTTCCCTTTCTTCGTCCATGTTATCGTCTTCTTCCAAAATTTCTTCTAGGCTTTGAGTCTCCCTCTGAGTTTCGTATTCTACTTCCGCCTCGGGTATCTCTTCTAGTAATTCCCGATGAGCCAGCAAAGGCTTTCGTATTGACGGTTTTTCTTCACGCTCCGGTTCATTTTCTTCTTTATTTATTTCGCTTGTATCGTTTTGTAATTCCTTCTCTTCATTGTTTTTCTTTCTCCCGAAGAGTATATTCGGAAGCGATTGCATAGGAATAACAAGAGTTAAAGTTAACAAAACAGCCGATAAAAATATTGCAGCAATTTCTTGGAAATCGACCTGTAATAACAAAATACATTAGTTCAAATATATAAACTTTTGTAGTTATCTTGAACGTCCCCATAGATAAAAGAATGAAAATTCATTTATGTCTACCGCTATAAGAAACTACATCCTACTGCAATTAAATTCAGCCAATTTGGGGCGAAGTTCTCACAAATTATTCGTATCTATTAGAATAAATTCTTTATCTCATCAATTCAGGAGCATGATTTTTGGTCCGTATAAATGTTAGCTAATGTAACTTACCACAGATAATAATTTGAATTCAGTGGATGTTCGTATCGTAGCTGCATTTGTGAGGAAGACAATAAACTGTGTTAAATATAGAGCATATGACAGTCTACTTATTAGTAGCATGGGGCGACTGGAAAGTAGGCTTGACAGAGTTTCTGGAAACATAAGTTTATAATAAGAAAATCAATATTCCGAGACATGTTAAAATTGCTTGCATCAAATGAATAAATAACAGTTTCAAGTACATTTTTTGCTAGAATTATACTTCAAATCTAGTAAAGCATATGTAAATTATTTCAATGCGGATACAAATTTAAGATCTAAACATCGGTCTTGTCCTCAATGTTTTTTTGCGTAATATGAGGAAACCTGCATGTCTTAGAGATGTTAAATCGACGACGTAAAAGACACAGACTAACCCTTGATAGATCACCTACTTGCTTATAACCAAATAATTTTGAGACATATATACTACGGGATTATAAATTTTCTTTCCTTGCGTAAAAAATTAAAAATTCTATAAGACTCTATAATTGATTGTTCCTCACCGCTATAACCATTATGGGCCGCGTACAGCAGCCAGGCGAAGGCTAAACCAATTGCAATAGGAGCCAGTGCCGCATACTGAGCAGCAAAGGTCACGTTATACTGGTAGTTGAAGTAACCGCTGTCGAAACCCGCCCACAACACTGCTCCCCATAGACCAGTGCTAACGACCCATCCGATGAATATTACAAACTATAAAATATTAATACAAATACTTTTATACAATTGTGCAACTATCTCCTTATCGTTTTTTTTTAATAAATCCTAATGGAACATTCCAATCAATCAAGTGGTTGTATTACTTAAATGCAAAAATACCTAATCCTTGAAAAGAACACAAATATAAATTCATAGAATTTTTCTCCTTATCCTATTAAAGTTTAATACACAATATCCTTAATACAAACTATTAGCAATTCGATCAATACATACAGATGTCATCTCGCATGCACTCCACATTGTCATGTAAATCTCGAGCCATTGTTCATACCGCATACGTTTGCGGAAATAGGAACTGTTTTGTTCGTATCACTGAACCAATAATATCGATCATTTGACAAAGGAAAATACCGAGAAATAGACTCGAACTATCTCACGAAACTTAGCAACTTCGAAGTTGACATTTGATATGTACTAATACTGTCTGTATTGAAATTATAGATATACATGTAATTTATATATATGTAATTTGATATATAAATTAAATATTGCATGTAGCTGCAAGCTTTTTTAGCAATTGACACAAAAATCAAAATTCAAAAATCATTTAATATAAATTAAAAACAAAGAGTTGTCCTCTATCACACGAAAAATATAACAAAATTATGTAAAAAAACAAGCAAACGGAAGAAAAAAGTAGCTTCTATGGACCGTGGGAGACGAGTGACACTCTTGTGTTATGATTTTTCTTATAATAAATATATTCCAACCAAATTACATGTGTTTCTCCAATATTGTTTATTAAAAAGTAAATAAAATATACTCACAGCAAACGCTAGTATTTATCAGTTTACCTTACTATGCTGAGCTGGGGTCCGTAGTGCTAATCCCAAACTGATGCCGATCAGATAGGAGGTACTGCGGTGCAAAATGGAGGTATAGCTCATCCGGCCTGTACGGTACAGCTGACTTACACTGGAAAATTAAACCAAACTTTACACAGCTGAGTTGAAAAGGCTAGCCAAAAAATACGAAAAATGTCAGTTTGAAAAACAAAATTTTGAGAATTTTAACTTAACATTAGTAGACAATGGAAATTTGACTTCAAAAACGGATAGAGTCGATGTAAAAAATGTAAATAGACCATAGAAGGCCCTATCAATAACTTTAGTTTTAGATTCCATAGAACACCAAAGATGTAAAATAACAGTATCTTATTTTTATTCTTAACCGCTTGACTTTAAATTAATAAAAATCATTCAGACGTTTGATTTAGTTACATTTTAAAATAAATTGCGAATTTAGCGTATAAATGGATAAATCAAATATATAAATTCTTACTACTAAATTAAGAATCTTCTCTAATAACTGTTACCAAAAAAACTTATACGTTATATATTTAGCAAAATACTACTATCACATTTACTTTACACTACTTTACTTTTGAATATATCTAAAGTAAAACAAGTATAATATCATATTATTTTTATTACATTTAAGTAGTATATAGTATATATACTTCCGTCTTGTATTTTAGTATTTCGTGGTTATACAAAAAATATATTTTGTGATTAAAAAATATTTATGCAGATAGCTTTTATAATAATGTTCCTATTCTCAAAATGCATTATAATAATGAAGCCCTAAAATATTGTTTTATTTCGCATAAGCCTTTTAAGACGATTTCCTAATCTAGACCACAAATAAAAGGAAAAGAATACGATCGGAAATATTGATAAACAAAAATCGTTGCAGATCAATCCCATGCTATCCAGCCCATGATATCTAATACCAATAGCGTAATCTCAAATATTACCAATTCTATACAGTAATAATAATTTTTGACACTAGAATGAACAAATTATTTCCACTAGGAAAGAATTCTATAAATGACAACACTAATGCCATTAAAAGTAGCAAACACAGATAGTGTTGTATCAGATTTAATATAAAAAGGTATCTATAGATTTGTAACGAAAATTTAATAGCATAAATCTTTAAAATTGTCTAACTGTTTTCTCCCACCTGTGTTGCCAAACGATTGTCTAACAGAGAGTCGGGGTTCAATTTCCGTAAGGGAAACGCTCGGACCGTCGGTACATGCGAGATATGCTTTAATTTTAATCTGCATAGTTTACACTCTGGTTTACACTGTATCAAAATATTCAGTTTTAACGAAATATTAAAAGACTACAAATGATTGGAGTGTATTGCAGTTGTTGCGTTTAATAAATTGGCGCGAATGATTTATGTTTGGCGTTAGGACGCTGTCTATGCCCCACAGAGTACCATAGGTACTGACCAATACCAATATAACAACAAAATTAATTAGACATTTGACTCAATATTGGTCTGAAATAAATAACTATTATTACTTTAGAAGTTTTGTATTCCGTGTTCAGTGTTAAGAGTAAAACCACTTTTTTAATTGTTAATTAATTAATTTTATTTATTTTCACCTTTTCACCATACATCTGTGCGACAATATCTGTTAACTGGCGGCATCGAAAAGTCAGAAGATCTCAATAAATATGATGGGACCACAGATTTTACGCCAGACAAGAACTAGATGTTTTTAAAACTCTACGAAAATTCCACAAAAATAAACAGTATTTTGACAGTAACATTATTTCTTTGTTGTGCGCGAGATTTTTAATTATATTTAGCACATGACCTAATTATAGATATGCTGTATCAAAAAATATATTTAAGTTAAAGTTGTGGACTTAAGTGTGTCTAACGCGTGCTTTCGCATACCAGTCCTTAACGAATGGGGTTCAATTTATTAAAATATATAATATATTATTACATTTTATACCTATTTATATTGGCGACTCTGAACATTACCGAGAAAATTTTATTTTTGTAACATTGATTTATAATATAAGGACATAATTCTTTATATGTCAACTAACTACTATATAGCGCGGTTAATAATTAGCAGACTAACAAAAACGAATCAATAATAAATTCACTATTATATAATTTATTATTATAATACCTAACGCTAGAATTGTTTCGAGTGAATTCAATTCATCTCAGCTTTATAAAACTTTAACAAAAATTAAAACTCCTAATTATCCCTCAAAGACCAATTAAAGATTGCTCAATATTATGTAAAACAAAAGTATACTATGAATATAATTAAAAGATTTGTTAGTTTTGCTGGGTGAACTACCGCATTCTTTATTTTACCAACTGATGCAACTTAGGATAACAAAATATAATTAGCCTTCGTTATTTTTTAAAAATATTATTTCAATTTATTCGCAATAATAAAAACGAAAATTCAATGTATAGTATAATAGTATATAATTATAAGAAAAGAGATCTCTGTGTTGTGTATAAATGTGTTGGAACCAAATATTTTTCGCAGGACTGCTTCGTAGTAACTAGAACTTTTAAAATCAATTCAGGGAAAATATATTAGGAGACATTTCTTCTATGTTGTGATCGAGATTTTAACTCATGAATGTTATGTACTAAGTATTTATTTTAGTAAATAATTCATTTAGCAACCGTCTCAACACCTACGTAGTTAAATGTTTGTAAAACATACATAATCGGTTTGTAGATAGACCTATAATCTTCAATGAAAAATCACTGCGAAAATGTCACACCCTGAAACGTGCTAACGATGTTATTCCGCTAAACAAATATACGACTTCGCGACCTTAGCCACTGGGGCCTTTGGTCCAGTCTGGATCCGGATCTGCAGACTGGCCGAGGAACCTCCCTTTTGGTCGGAGGAACTCTTCAACGTCCTTCCACAGACATTCCTCCAATATTTCAAACATTGTGGAGGAATGACTGTGCGTCATTACGTCACTTTTCAGTAATTATCCTATAATATTAACGTATTTTATGATGTATTGGTATTTTAAATAATACAATGTATAGTTTATTATTTAAGTACTATAAAATTTAACTAAACGTTAATAGGAATGTTACATTTTCCAACCACAATGCTAATTAAATTGCTAAAATAAAACATAATTAACATATATGTTCCTTGTCATAAAAACAACTTTAAATAAATTGAAAACCTATCTTTGTTTTAAATCTTAAAGCGCACCACAATTATATTATAATACAGTAAATCGTACTGTAAGGAATATCAACGAAAGTTTATTTTTGCCAAGAAAAGAAACGAGAGGCATAAGAAATATGATTAAAGATTTAAAAAATATGTCTTTTTAACGAAAAACATAACATCTCCAATCTACACCAAAAAGTATTAACATCGTGAATTTAATAATCTAATAACAAAACAATTTCTAACTCATACACCTCGATCATCCAGATACTTCAGGTTTTCAATGTCGGTTAAAAATGTCTTAAGACACTGATTACTTACTGTCATTTTATACTAAATGAGTAATGAAATTTACAATACCTTTGAATACGTTCGACAGAGTTTAGACTTAAGACAGCCCGAATGCACATACGTTTTTACATATTGTATTGAAACCTTCCCGTTAAATTTTTTTTTGTTAATAAGGTGCTAAATATGTAGATAGAAGACATACCTAACTCCATGATAAGCAATCATTGTAAGGCGATGGTCTCTAAACATTGTATATCGGGAATAGGCTGCGGATAGATGTATGATTGGCATAAATAGCGCCGAACCGACCATATTTGAGTGGATCGCCCATACTATGAAACTTCCGAGAATGGAAAGTTGCATGTCCAGCGCTAGCTGATGTGTTTGGGGTGCACACTGAAATAAAAAGTTTTATTTAACTGTCCTAGTATTTTAGAACCCCAACTGCAGATAACTTGCAAAGATTGTCGCTTGGTTTAACAGTAGGCACTAGCTATTAAGTAGTCTGACGATCACCGTGAAACTAAAATGAGGCTTTAAGTGCCCATTTTAAAGTCCCTCAAACCTCTGTCGTTAGCGACAATTCAAGACTCTTAAGTTTTAAACTTTACCACCAACAATTTGTCGGTCTACAATACTTTTATCGATTTCGTATTCATTTTGACAATTACCCAACTTACCATACTCTCTAATCCAAAGTAATTCTGCAAATAGAACAAATTCCACCACCACCTTTCTCGGCAAATGTCAGCATTTTTCGTTACAAGTCCGCCCCACATAGGCCCCACGGTGACATGATCCCAGATGAATGCGTAAAACCAAATCACAGCTAGCATTGCCGGTGTTAATCTGGAAAGGTGACCATCAAATCAGCACATTACAACTCTCATCATAACGTTTGTCTATTATAAATACACTTTTTGAAATACACTTTATTAATAATTGGAATAATAATCTAGTGGCGCTACAACGCTATAATATGGGTCTTGGTCCCAGATTGCAACCATTTCTTTGATCATGTTTATTTCATAGACAGGTAGGTATGTACATGATTTTGGGATAAGAGACATGCCAGTCTCCTCGCGAAGGTTTCCTCCACCCTAAGAGCGAGTGTTAGATGCGCACATAGACAGAAAGTCCATTTGTGGTATCACGCCGAAGCCACTAGGTGAACAATGAAACTCTACACATACACTTCATAAAAAATTAAAGCCTTTATGTAAACCTTATTAAACAACTAAAACATTCACAATAAAAGTATTTATATTGCGGACCTTAAATATTTAGAACCTAGTTTGTTAAAGGCACTAGTCTTCTCCGATGTGCGGTATGCAGTCAAAGCTCCACTCAACAATAGAAAACAATCAGTGAACACCCAGCCTACTCTACACCAGGACCAGGCAGGTGACGACACCACCTGTAAAAAAATACCTTTTTAATAACATAGGTATATATTAAAACGAAATAAAGAAAATATTCTTTAATCATAACTATCACACTCAGAAATTTCCCGTGCCCAATTATTTATGTTTTTTTTATCGAAAACATCTTAATCACCCTCTAAACAAATTATTACGGCCGTTTAAAATTTCTGGTGTCAGTAAACATAAAGTCGTTATTAATCATCATTCAGTCGAAGTTCGAACGCCTAATGAAAATATTATAGCAACATTGCTGTCCTTACTATCCATGAAATATTAAAAACTATTCAGGGTTATAATTATCATATATAAACATTTGAAGTTTCTATAATATTATTGATGACAATTACTGTAGAGAATGTTACTTTTCTTAACATATTCTCAAAACTAACGTAGTAATTCGTTTGTTACACCTGTAGGAGCTAAATTTTTCATACATAATTTGTCTAGTCATACATTATTATTTAACGTCGAGAATTGATATCACCTGTAAATATCGACGGTCTGACTTCAAATATTAGCCGTTTAGCCGCCTTTAAAGATTAAGACCCCCAAGGTCTTAATTGATCAAAATTTATCCGGGGAGCAGAATGTTAAGGAAGTTAGCTGAAAATTGTTCGGTGCCTATAGTATCCTCCGACGTCTTAGTAATTTACTTCCCTTTAGCACTAAAACCTCACTGGCACAGTCTCTCCTTCTGTCATTACTAGACTATGTCGATCCTTGCTCTTTTGATCTAAACTAGGAATTGCTTAATAAGCTGGATCGTCTCCAATATTTCTGTATCCGTTTTATATTCGGTCTAAGATAGTACGACCATATCTCTGCGTTTCATAAGTGCCTACGCTGGTTACCCATTCGTGAGCGACGTGGTGCTAGTGCTACCAAGCTTCTTTCCGAGATCAACAATGTCATCGGTGAAATACAAGTTAAAAGCTTAACCAGAATGAATTTTATAAATTAGATTCCTTAAAAAACTTAAAACAAACTTAAGACAAAAGAATTGCAGATGTCGGGAAAAGCGCGGCTACGTTTGAGTTTGCAAGTTCAGCGTATTAGACGGTTTTATTGGTAGTTGTCTTCCTGTAACGAAGGGCCTGTAGATACATCTCTTATTATAATTAGCTTAGTATATGTATAGTATAGCTAAGTCTGGTTTATATCAATAAGTAAAAGTTACAGAATATTGCAGAATATAGAACTTGCAAAGAAAATAGGCTGTTTACCTAGAAGCAGCTTCATCGCGCTGATTAATTTTTATAAGCGAAGTAAACAAATATTTGCAATAACTTTCGATGTGTCACGGTAGTTGCCAAATCACTCAACTGACTTACTTGGAACTATGCCAATATATGTCCAGAAATCATCAGTCACCTAGACTATGTCTGGTTCGATTATATTAACTCTCGCTTCAGCAAATATATTAATACATATCGGAATAGTTAGAGGAAGTACTAGAACTTTCTCCAGGTAGATTCGCCCTCTAATTTCAATCTCAAGTAAAAGTAATTTTGTTACAACAGGAGCCCTTAAATACTCAAACTATTTAATTATTTCGTATATCTATCGACAATATCAATATAAACGGTCACATCCGTTTGCGAACCATTTTATATATAAATCTTTATTAATACCTCTAATAACAAATTATATAACACTTACATTATTCTTATCGAATAACAAACTAACTTTAAGCTACAAAAAACTAAGCCGTTAAAAGTACCAATAAATTAAACAAAAATTAATAATTTTATAAATTTCTTACCTCAGCAACTTTTACCCTATTTGCGTAAGGAGTATGGGCGATTGGTAGGAATTTATGAGCGATAATAAGTGCTATTGTCGCAATTGCTCGAAGACCGTGGATACTTGATATTTCCTCAGATCCAACCGGCGCTATCAATTTCTTCACAGTGCGGGTAAGTGAGAAGGCACTGATGAACCCATCTGAAATACATAGAAATTCCTTAATAATTGTAAGTTTATTTTGTTATTAAATTTTTATTTACTATTAATCTTGTGGAGGAAGAATGATCTACAACTTAAAGGGAGGATCCTCGCCTAGTCTAACTACGGATTGGCCGGCCCGAAGGCCCCAGTGGCTAATGTCCAGAAGTAGTATCCTTAGCGGCCAGAGTAACTTCGTTAGCGGGTTTCAGGGACGTCATCGTAGTGGATTATATGCACAGAATCTTATAATAATTAAGTTTGTTTATGTATTTAATGTATCATGAACTACGCTTTGGAAGTGAAAACCATTAAAGTTTTTGAAGCCAAATATTTGGCCATACAGTATAATTATTGTAATTGTACAGCGGACACCGTATTCTAAAACGTATTATTAAACTATTTTGTCAATGCTCAAGGCTAAATTGTCTTGAGATATATATATAAAATATATTGACAAATGAGTCTATCTATAAATAGCCCCCAATCTAAAAGCCTACAACTATACTAGCGTTAGAATAAGTTAAATTTTAGTTATAGTATTTTTATATAGACGTTATATATATTATATAGAAGGGATGCGGACAAGAATAGTGTAAAAATAATCGAGATGGATAGGAAAAAAATTGTGTCCAATTGAAAGCCGTCCACATTCGTCACAGTCGTCGTTGTTACAGCCGTCTCTATACTATGTAAATAATAAAAAATGTCGTCTGAGGTCGTATATTCGAATCCCGGCTGTGCACCAAGGGACTTTCTGTCTATGCACCGAAAAGAAAACCGGCATGCCCTAGACCCAAAAAGTCGACGGCATGGAAAGTAATCACCTACTTGCCTATTAGAAACAAATGATCGCGAAACAGATACAGAAATCTGAGTACAAGACCTAAAATATTTTTTTTTTCAATAGAAGTAAGTTTATTATAAAAATAGTTTTTAAAAATTATCACTATTCAATTTAAGCAAAAATACTAGCGCGCCTTTATATGTAGTAACTAAAAAAGCCTTATTATTTAAAATGTCAATTCTCCTTTTTTATTAAAGACAATGTAATAGAATTATCAGCAAATTTCATAACATGTTTATCTCTATTTGTACAGTTTAATGATAATGTCCTAAGGGAAAGATTTGAACGCTTTGACGGGGAAACTTGTAAAAAAACCAAGATAACTTTTCACGCTAATGAAAGAACATCTGTGGTACCAGATGTTCTTTCATTAGTGATACTCCTAATACTATAATTTTCTGTAAATTTAATGAATATTTTCTCGCCACTGCGACATGTGTGAAATTATAATCGAATCCGCCCACTGCAGCATTAACGCTACGAAAATTATATCAAAAATGAAATTTTAATCAATAAATCGCATTTCAGCTGTTATTATACTTTACCGTGCAATAAATACAATCGTAATGTCATTTAGTTGAGTGTAATTACGATGAAATCGTAAATCATTCTGAATTTTACTTTACCGAAATAAAGATATTTTTTCATTGCAATATTTTCAATAATTGAATGCCAACATTTAATTATAAAGACAATGGTTTGCAGTAACCTGATGCAGCATGGGGCAGACGCATTTCTGTCTCTATTTTCGAGTTATCCGGGTTATACGTCATGGTGTTAACCACTGAGCCACGGATTGTATATATGCAAAGTAATCTGTGAGTGACTGTTACAATGAGATTGTTATTTTCTATCAGCTAAATGTGCAAGATCAGCGAAAGAAACGTAAAAAAGCCGGTATAATTTGAACCCAAATAAGCAAAGTGTGTCAGGTAAAAGATCTACTTCCCTATAAAGAAAATTACATCAATTAGACAGCCGCACTAATATCTCCCCCACGCCGTATTACCGAACTTGGTAACGGGTGCTATAAGAAAACCAATCAAAAAACGAATATAATAAATTATAAAATGTATTAAAATAAAAAATAAATACATTTATTTATAAATTGTATTATGTGGAGAAACCAGAACATTTACGATAAATCCTATTGAATGCTAAGTATAAAATCAAAGGCGTTTATAATATAAATTAACGAAAAAAATCCTTTGTTAACGAAAAATCGTATATTTTTATGATAAAAAATACAATCATGGAGGATAGTTTAAATTTACGATGTTATCAGATTATTAAGGAAGCATTTTAAATCAGTTTTTAATAATATATTTTGCGATAATGGCTACATAAATGTTTAATATCCCGCAACTTCAGAATTGGATACGGATCCTTATAGAATAATCAGCATCACAGATATTTTTATGACAAATATCGAAGTTTTAAATCCTCACAAAAAACGTTGTTATGCTGGGAATCGAACTCAGGTTATACGCTTAGCAACATACGGTGTCAGCCGTATGTTGCGGCGAGTTTAAGCGAGCAACTCAAAATTCTCAGAGACGACCCCGAGGTCGTGTTCCGAAATCACAAGAAAGCTTCAATGACATGTGTCAGGTACAGAGTTCTGACTATCTACTTGTCTATAAAAGAAAAATAAATACATTCAATCTGAGGCCATATATGTTGGTAGCGCCTCTGGATTATTATTATTAACTTATGTGATTTAGTAATAAAACTTTCTAATACTGAATTTTTAATGCGTGACCTTCCGAAAATATCTTGTGAAGATTTCAATCCAGACAAAACATTGAATCGACTGTCCATGTACACTTGACATAGTATAAATTATGTTAATTAGTTAATCTATACGAAATAACAATTGATTTGAACTCTCGTTACATACAAGTAGGTTAAGGTGATCTTTTAAATTGTAATCGGTCACAAATGTCAATCCCGCAGCTCGTATTCGTGAATTACTCTGAAGTCGAATAATGGTTGTTGTCGGTGAAGTTAGCAAATTTGCCAACAAGGTCGTAAAATATAGCCAGAACAAGAAACCTTACTTATTTCTTTTTTAATATGATTTATTTTTATAAGACAAGGTGAGTATTTATGCTTAACAACCGTTTTTACGGAAATTGGACCCTTGGTAGATTGGTAGTCTTTTCTTAAAGTAAAATGCTCCATTATCAACAGGCCGGCAGCGCACTTGCGATCCTTCTGGCAGTGTGAGTGTGCATGGGCTTCGGTATCACTTAACATCAAGTGGGCCTCTTGCCTCCTGTTCTAAAAATAAGAACCTAGGTTAATCGCGACCTGCGCTTACGTCACATCCGGGTTATACCATAGACGCTAAATGCTATAGCTTTATATTAAGCCAACTTAGCCAAATTTACCTTGTTTATTTGTCTTGTCATCGACATTATCCTCTTTATTCTCATCTGTATCGTCTCCATTACTCTTTTCACTCAGTAAATCTTGGCATGTAGCAATTACTACCACACATAAGACAACACCATAGAAACATCTGTAAAAACATTTTTTAAATTATAAATAAAAAATGCACACCGAAGCACATATTTAAATACTTAAAATTGAAGCCTTAAATGATAGAAATCTACCTATAATAACAATGTCTTAAATTAATAAATAGCTAGAAAGATTAGTAGATAATATCGATATACCATTAAACCAATATTCAATAAACCCCTTATATACTACTTAATAAACCATTTTAGATCTCTGGCAACCTTTAATCTATTAATTTTGTAGCGTCTTGGCCTGGTCTTTACCAGTTCATCACAGTGTGCAAGTAAAATTCATTGCGACACAATAATGTTAACGACGCAGCTTTTACTATGTTTTGTTTACAATAGTATATTTCATTACAAGTGCGGAAAGCCTGTCATTGCAAAGAGTTTCGACAAATGTCTACTATAATGGTTGACAGTCGGAACAAGTTGCAATGACGGTTCCGCACGTGTACTGAACAACTATTTTTAATACAGTTGCGAAAAAATTATGCAATTTAATAAAATAATAAAAACACAATAAACTCAACTAACTAATCATTTATTTCTTATACAAATTATTGTTCACATATACATTGGTACAGTTTTTTATATTAACTGGAGAAGTTTTAGGTTGCATATTTATTTACTGTTCGAGACAAACTATTATTAATTTCGTATGATTGTTCATGTATATTTAATATATAATATTGGCAAATATTCATAAGATATGGTTTATTTATTTTACCAAATAATTTGCCATTACCGGTCTCCCTAATACGGCAAGTATTTACGCTCATATTACATATTATATGACAATACACACCTACATTCAGAAAAAATACAAAAAGTAGGACATTAATCATATATCATATTATCATATGCGATAGGAACGGACATAAAGCAAACCTTTTGTCAGTTCACTCAAAGGACAATTAAAAAGCTCAGTTAATACTCGTTTATAAAGTTCGTTGAGAATTTTAATGCATTATGTAAAAAAATCCCTTTTCAAAAAAAATTGGATTAGCTGAGGGCACAAAATATAGTAACGGCGATCGCCTCCTAACGTAACAATCAGCCACCCTGAGGCTTAGGGACTGGACTGCTCTTGCTTAGGAACCCTCCCAGCCGCATCTGTGTGTCTGTATACACGCGATAAACTCAATAACTACCGAACTGTATTATTATGGTTTTACGTTAATTGACCTAAATATAACGATAATTCTTGAAGAATTCCCACAAAATTATGCCAAAATGAACTAAATCAACGAAGGCAAAACTGAGGGTGGAAGCTAGTATTTATTAATTATATAACATGATTCATAATTTTAAATATATTCTGAATATATTTTTGTGTTGGAATGTAAAACAGTCGCGCTTGTATAGGCCCATGCGAACCTCAATCACGATAATATTACTTTACAGCTACACCTTACAGCTTTATTAGTTAGGAACTCAGGCGGCATTAACGCTAGTACCTAATCTAGAAAAAAACTTTAACACACAGTTTACTTACAGAGTTAAAAGAGTAGGTAATTCCATCCACTCATCCCACCAGTTGCCTTTGCTCTGGATATGACAATCTACCTCATCTACTTCAATATTGAAGGAGATACCCAGTTTTTCATAACGTTTAGTCGAGTCCTTGATCATTGCTACCACGTCATCTGGGTGACATGGTGATGGTACACAAACACCCAAGCTCAACGTTGAGAATCGTGGTACGAAGTGACCTGGCTGAACAATAAATTAAACGAATTACCAATGTGTATGAAGTCCTGCCCCCTGGTATGGCAAGGGGCAGTAGTGGATCCACGCAACATTTATAGCTGTTATCTTGACCATCAAAGCAAGACTGATACAGTGTTTCTTGGTTGTGCTTTATGTAAAAATTATGAAAATCCGTAAACAATTATAAAAATGTCTCTTGCTGGCAATTGTCATGAGCGGCTATTGGCTTTGACGCAGAACAACTCATACTCGTGAACGGGTGGTACTTGTGGTCGGACTAGAATTCGTGTATGCGGTGATGTTAGTTACTTCGACTGTTCGCACGAGAATGTAAGTGCGTGCTCCTATTTCACCATGCCTCCTGCAGATAGAGGACAAATCTTTGTTTTTAATTTATGTTTTTATGATTTATTAACAATTGATTACTTAAAATACCATGTGGAACATGGTGTAATGGTTGCAGCTCCTTACAAACATTGTATAAAACAAAAATCTTGGCGATCAAAAAAAGTGGCGGAGAGTTTATTGCCAGTTCTTTTCTTCCGTTCTACGCCCTTAATTTGAGAACTGGCAGTAAATGTAAAATTAGACGCGTTTAATATATATTTCTTTTTTGACGTTCATAAGTGTACATTGTGTTACCTATATGAATAAATGATTTTGCCTTTTGACTGACCCACATGTGATTTGAAACCTAAAAACCCTTTGAAATTTGACCACTAAAACAGGATATTGTACAAACACAAAATAAGCAATTAAATTAATACTCACATCACTAACCCTGCCCTTAATTAGGTTTCGTCCTTGAAGAAGATCTATAGCCACTTCCAAATCTTGATGCTCCGCCCTGACATCCATTGTGACTAAACAGTATTTGCCTTGAACCTTCACAATACTGCCAGTTTCTAACTGAACTCGAGCACGAGTTGATAAACACTGGTCAAAGTCACCAAGCTGTATACCGTTGCCTTGCAGGAGTCCCGAGGGAATTTTTGCTGAAGAATCCAACACTGAAAAACACACGTAACCCTTAAGTTACAAACACGAAACTATAATTGCGTGACGAATTTTTAATGTGTTTACAGGTTAACTAAAACGTTTACTAGGTTTAGTGAAAGTACAAAAAAATATCACTTTTGTTGTTATGAATATATTAGTAAAGTTATCACAACATTAGCGCTGAAAATTTTGATAAAGGGGTTTTTTTTATTTAGTTATTAGGCTTACGACATCACACACAGTACTTAATCTACTAATTATTTTACAAAAACTTACATCTAAAATGTGTGACAATTAACGTAAACACAAGTTTCACAATTGATGATTCGCGTATATTTTACTTAACGAGTCGGAGGGGGCTGATACATTAATACTAGACATATTACTTTATACTAAATCCAAGAAACGATCAAAACGGGGTTGAAAAAGAACTTCAAAAGTGGTTTATTAAAATCTACTATTAAAAACTCTATGGTAATTGTATACAAAACTAGTTCATAGTACTTACTATTTAAAGCCCAGAGTTTGGTACCACGTAACTGTCGCAGTAATATTTGTCCATGTCTTCGACACTCCGGATTATGTACGCGTGAAAAATTCGGTGCAAACGTTGGAAAAAATCCATAAAAATCCTCGAATTCGCTTTGTAGTAAAATTTTTCTGTGTGATGCATCGGTTAATGGTTTTATTTGATCAGTTTTTAGTCTATTTTTCACCTTAACATCTTTAGTAACTTGTAATGTTTCAGAGTTCCTTTTTTCGACTACTTTATCGACTTTTTTTATATCTAGCACGGCATCCGCTTTAGAAATGATATGACTTTGTAGCTTACCAGCTTCAAGGTGTGATTTAACTTTAATTTTTTCGAGTTCATCACTCGTACTTTCTTTGGAAAAAGTATCTGTTTCTTTCTTGGTTTTCTGATCTTTGATTTTCCTAACAATGCTTTCTTTTATTTCTGCTTCTTTTGTAGTTTTCTTTGGGAGTTCATTTTTTATTTCCACTACAGACTTTTTATCTTTAAATTTGGATTCCAAGGTCTCTTTTGATAAATTTTCTATCTTAGAATGTTCTTTTTCACTTTCTTTTTTACGATCTTTGACATCTATAGTTTGTTCCGATTTTGCTAAAGGACGCTTTATAGGAGGTATGGGATCGTATTTCACTTTCGGAGGTACTTTTGTTATTTGTATAACTATTTCATCATCATCTTCATCACTTTCGTCATTTTCGATGTTTTTTTCATCGTCGTTTTCATTATCAACATCTCCTTCACTATCGCTATCGTCCTCATTCTCGATATCTATCTCATCGTCGTTTGTATCAAGTGCTTCATTTAGTATTTGCGTTTTAACTTTAGTAGGCGTAACAATGTTATCATTTTCGTCTTGATCAATATAGTTATCTGACTTAATTGTTGACTTTATAACCTTTAATCCATCACTATGAGTTTTCTTTGAATTTTCTTTGTGCTTATCAATGTTCTCGCCATCGCTTGCGTCTGGTTTCGTTGTCTTTACTTGTATATTTGAACTTAACTTTTTATCATCTGAAAGTCCATGTAAGTACGATAAGTCATCAGCACTCAATTTTCCCTCACTCTTCAGCTTTTCGTGAACTACTTTTTTAAGGCCCTCATACAGATGTCTATTACTCAATTTGCTTTGTTTTTGGTCAAGGTTAAGTTCATTCACATCACACGAGGCACAATGTTTTTGAGAATCAGAACGTTCATGGGCTAGTCGTACACGAAATGCGCTAACCGTTACAAGGATGGGCACACCGATAAAAATCAAAGCTAACGTCCATCTGAGGCGTACCATGGCCGGAGCGTGAGACGCTCACGGCGCCATCATATACGAAACTGAAATATACCGCGCGTACGAGCCGCGACGTCTATTTTCATCTCCAGTAATTTACAACGAACAAGCGCGGATGCTTCATTGATAACGTAAAAAGTACTTGGGAGACAAAAATTTAACTACTTTTTAAAAGTTATTCAGTTTTGTATGTTACGTTTCCCGGCTGAGGTTAATTCGAGTGTACTAATACGAGGGCACGGTTATGGCATGCGTCCAAGATTAGAGTAAAAATAGTATTGCAAAGGCGATTGTCCGGTGCGCAAACCGAATTAATGACGGGCGGATTGATAGCATTTACATAGTTTGATTGACTGACGTTGAAAAGTAGAATTGTTATAGTAGAAAATACGAAAAATGTCCTCATTGTCTTGATTATGAAGAAAAGTTAATATAATTTGGCACGAAAGTTTAAATAATGACTCATAATTATGTAGTTGTATTTTCAGGTTTAAAATAAATTTATTTCGAAATAAGAATCTTAGTTAAGACTCGTTACTATTTTTAAAGGTGAATCAAACACCTATAAACTTTGATGATATCCGATTTCTATGCAACATTTTAATCACTATATTTATATATCACTGTGTTACTTTTTCACCTACACTAATATTATAAAGAGGTAAGATTTTATTGCTTCTTTTTTTCTTTGTTAATATTTAAATGTTACCTTAATAGCGTGAGAGAGTATTTAGACCATAAGTTTTGACAACAATTATAAATAACTTAACTCTAAATTTTTATGACATTATCATAATTAATACGACATTTGCATGCCTACTTTCGTATTAATGATGGTTTTTTACACTTTTACACTTTCCTTGGAAATAAACGATTTATTATTATTATAGGCTCCAAAGTTACTGCACCGACTGAAAATTATTTCACTATTTGAATCCTACAGTATTCCCGAAAATAGGAATATTTCCAATATTTTAGGATTTCGTATGAAAACTTTAATAAAGTAACCCAAAGTGTAAAAAACCAAAAACTTCAATATATCGGGTACGCTGCGAAAACTATTGGCAATAGAGCAAAGTGATGGTTTACAGTTTTATAGAAGACATTAATATCTACAAAAACGTCAATCAAAAATATATTTTATGATTGGGAAGGACAAGAACACTGCCTTGCCTGTGTAATGATTGGCACGGGTTTTTAACAAGGGTTTCATATTGGTACCCCTCAATATGTTAGAACCGATTTTTTTATGTGTGCAACAAAAAAGATTTTTACAGTCAAATAAATATTATATAATAAATAATAATTCAAAAACTGCTTTATACTACATTTTCAACTACAACAAATAATTTTAAGGCAAAAAGCTGATCAGCCTTCTCTCTCTACCATAGCGAAACAGTTATTAAATTAATTATTTACCGTTTGACATTCCGGCAAGAAGAATTGCTAGTATACCATGATAGTCAAAGAGACTTTTGATCGATTTTGGCGTTGTTTTTTCGGTTTCGGTCTAGTTTGACCACTCCAAAGCTTGTTGACTAGTTTGCATGTCAAACTCGTACAACCACATCTCGTCACCAACTTCATTAATGTTGATTTGGAATTGACTCGTTTTGGTATGCCCTTATTGATATGTCTTTAAGAAGTAAATTTTATTTATTGGTATTTTGGGACACGCTCAGAGGCAACATGTTTCAAACCCAAGTGATTATTTAAAATGGTACGGATCGACTTCACTGAACTGAACTTTATGTCAGTGACTGCTTTTAAACGCTTTGTACTACTCATAAGCATGTGTTGTTGATAAAGACAATACAGCGTAAGCCTTCTGTTACATTTTTAGGGACATCGAACACGAAAATCCATTGGGATCCAAAATTAAGACTAATTCGATGTTTTATTGAGATTTGCAATACGCACTAGAAACAGCCACTGTTTTTAATCTAAATTACAGGACTCAAACTCCGCGCCAAAATGGAAAATAGTTGTCAATCTAACTACAAAAGACAAAAAATTTAATTTGTATCCATAAACAAATCGTCACTGCTCGATTCTTTTTGCACAGAATATAATATTTAAGAGGATTTAGCGGAGTCAATTTATCACTACAATTTAACCTGTGTTAAGGTCACTGTATCAATACATTTTAACGATCGCAAAGGTAAAATATTTCTGATTTATTCCATGGAATCTCCATTACGATTCGATATAAGGAAGATGAACAACCGATTATTCTTTTGTTTTTAACTATAACAATCAATTGCGTTTATACAGTACGTGACGATATACGAACTTCGAAATATAATTTTTATTATGGGACTTTTTAACGTATCTGAATTTTATTAATGTTTATAAGGTCAAGCTTTAGTGCTTATGCCAGATGCGCTATTTTTTATTTTATTAGTCTGGATAGCAAAGCAGTTAATACTTACCTAACAGTGTTTTGGTTATACATATACGAGTGAAAGAATATTGCATACAAAATGTTTTGACAAACGTTTTGGTTTAATATATTTTGGTATACTAACATTTTTAGGTTGTGTTTTTATTCATATTTTACTATATTCGATAAGAAGAGATATACATAATATATGAGTTAATGTAAACTTAATTTTATCTTGAGTTTTGTCTATTAATCAATAAAACATACGCTAACGGTGAGAGGATCCAGAATGATGCCGGATGGCCCGTACCCACTCCTTCCCGTGCCCTTCTCGCAAGTGCAAACCTGGATTCACCAAAGATCCACTGAACTCTAACATCAACATGGTCGCAACGCGGACTGCTGACAAAATGGCACTGCCAGCAGTAAACAGTGCTAGTGACAAAGCGACTTTAGACTTTATTTATTTATTTACACTTTGTTGCTTTATGATATAAAGTAAAGGAAAGGCAACTGGCGGCCTTATCGCTTTCGAGCGATCTCTTCCAGGCAACCACTGTGAGAAAAGAAAAAAAATGTATTAAATTACATAAGGTAGGCAAAAAGTGCAAAAATACATACTTTAGTGACAAGGCCAAGGTAAATAAACATCTCTTTATCCTTGGTTTGACAGAAAGTTCCTTGTGCAGAGGCTGAGTCAGCGCAGAAGAATCAGTCACCCACATGGTCCTGGCATACGAGGCTTCCCAAGGAACAGATATCGTCGAGCAGTGAGATCCCTCCGTGAAGGCTCCGAAGTGCCCAGGAAACTTCTGAGCTTCTGAAAGGAGGCTTGCTTAATTAGCCAGGACTTAGGCATAACGGACCAAATGGGCGTCTTGCGGAAACTGTGTCCACCATACATACATACGCTAATAGTGTGAACCAACAATGATTAAAAAACATACTTCCCAAACGATGCAAACAGCGCAAATAAGCGTTATTTAAAACGGCAATGGTAAAATATCAACATAAAACATTTACTACCTGTTTTTAGACGCAATTCCGAAGATAACATCCTTTATCGAAAAGATAAAACTCGATCTCGAGTTGTAAACTTGTCAATAACTCCTAAAAAGACAAATTTACGGAAGCAATGGAGATGTTGGTCCATTTCGCATATTTCGCGCCGTTTTTTGACGTACAATAAAACTAAAAAATGGCGTCTGAGGTCAAGGCTGAATAATAAAGTCTTTACCGTTTAAAGTCAAACAGGTCTGGCTTTTTAACACCAAAATAATTTTAAATTTGTATTATTTATAACGTCGGGTATAAATAAAGCGAAATCAAGTTGTGGACAGTACTTTTTTTTAAATTACAGAAAGACAGCCAAACATTGCTTCTTCCAGATACTAGAGCTTATGATAGTGAATAAGCTTATTAATCGAACTTGTTACAAATTTAAGTTGGACTTAGAACTTGTAACACCGAATGAACAAGAGTAGTGAACGAGTGATTTTTTTAGTCCGGGATTAAACGTGACAATATTAGTGTTAACTGTTTACCCACTCCATTATATTTGAAACTTAAAACATTGTGTAAAAAATAAAATACTGTAGTAGCTGTTATTTTCATCACTATATTTCAAAGCGCTAGTTATTTTAGAGAACGGCGGAAAAGCTATATATAAAATAGATTCTTTATGTTCATAAAATTTAAATATTACGATCAACTGAAGGATTTAATCATTCTCGTCTCAATAAATCGGCGCTGCACATCCTTATGCTTAACAGATGTATGTCGTATTAAATATGTTGAAGCGAGATCAATATTTATTATCTGTAATCAGGTGAATTGTTACAAAAATTTACATTTTAATAGTATTGCTACGCAAATCGCAATTTATAATTAACGTGCCCCTTCTGATTTATGACAATTGTTTACCATATTCGTCACATTTTCCAAGTGTACCTACACCATAAGTTATGGCAATAGAGATATTGGAGCCCAGTTATACAAACAAACCCCTGCAGTATTCCTACTATATTATTTTATGTTATGGTATGTTGTCCAAGCCTAATTACTAACAAAAATAATAATTGTATGTAAGTAAACTGACTTTATCTAATCTAACTTCTTGTTTTATAAGCTGTAAGAAACAAAAGGCTTTTTATTTTTTATTTATATGTTGTGCTGTGTTGGTTTGTTATATTATATTTTTACTATTTTTCCACTGGTTTCAATCTATACGAATGAACAAAGCTTATTGCGCGTAAAATAAGGCTTTTTTATGGTTAAACTAAACACAATTACGCGCGAAAGGTACGCATACTAAGGTAGTCATTTCTTATTATCTGCTTTTTGTTGCCTTCCCAATACATAGGAACATACAGCTGCGCTTATATGTATAGCCCGATAAATTATTAAATGTTTTTGATTCGTGTCACTTTCAAAATGTATAAGAGCAATAAAAGTTGTTAACGTTGGCTTTGATCTTAGTATATTCTACACTTACTTAAGTTAATTAAGAACTTACTATATATAATTTTAATGACATATGCTCGGTCAAGGTTTAATGTAATGTTAAAATTTCACAAAATAAACACATGTTGTGTGACCTTTTACCTGTGACATTTATTAT